GAGAAGGAGAAGCAGACTTCCGTCTGAGCAGGGAGCCCGATGCGGGGCTCAGTCCCAGGACCCCAAGATCATGACCTGAGCTGAAAGTAGACGCTTAACTGACTGAGGCACCTGGCGCCCCTTGCAGGTTATCTTTTGACAGAAACATCACAGAACACAGAAGCGATGCCGTATTCTTATGGCATCGTACCAGAAGGTTCATGGGGTCAAGTGTACTGTTTTGGTGATGCTGAATTTTTCCTTTCTAAGACTTTCATTGGGTGGTTCTTTAATATTCCTTTCCTGAGATTATTTTGGTGGTGGTGGGTGGGGGTTGTTTCAAGTATGTTTGTAACTGAAGTATTTTATGATGGCTGCTTTAAAGTATTTGCCAGGTAATTCTAAAATTTCCACCATTTTGGTGTTGGCCTCTATTGGTATCTCCTTTCATTCCTTCTGAGATCCCTGGTTCTTGGTGTGATAAGTGATCTTTGATTAAAACCTGGACATTTCAGGCATTAGGTTACGAGACTCTGGATCTTACTGACTTCTTCTGACACCTCTTTGGGAAGGAAACAGAATGGGGAGGGTCACCCACCTCCTGACTCTCCTGACTGCCAACTTGGGGTAGAAGTCAAGGTTCCCTCTGAACCTCCACGGACACCTCTCTGGCTGGGAGGGGTAGAAGTGCCCAACTATTGCTCTTCTCTGTGGCCTCTACAGATACTGGGGGGGTGTCTCCTCATGGTGGTGAACTTCCTGCCCTCCCCAGGGCCTCTTCTGATCCCACCCAGTGGGGATGGGGAGAGGCGCCATGTTACTGCAGTTGGGATTGGAGGCCCAGGCTCTCCCCATTGTCTCCACTGACATGGAGGGGTAGGGACGGGGGACAGATGAAAGTCCTGGTGAGGGTAGGGCCACAGTGTTTTCTGTGATGTTCGGCTGGAGTAAAAGGCTATTGTCTAAAAGTTTTCTGTCTTGGTAGGCTGCCCTTTTCTTGGTCTTAGGGTTAGAGAAAGCAGGCTTTTGTTGTGGCATGTGTGTGTGTGTGTGGGGGGGGGGTTTATGCCCATTAGAGTTTCTAGGTTGGCATGCTTTCCGAGTATCCAGTTTGGGATCTCTGAGGCAAAGAGAAAGCCCAGAGAATTGACCAGTGTCTTCTTCTGGCCCTGAGCTCCCAGACACCTCTACCTCTCACGGGCTTCTTATGCTCATTTTGTGTACAACGCCCAGGGGTTAGCTTAGCAAGAGGAATAAATACATCTGTTCCCTCTTCCTGGGAACAGAAGTCCTAGTGATGTTAATTTCTATCTCCTGGTTAAGATGATGTCTTCACATTTTTTACAATGGAAAGTTAATAGTATTTTCTGCTTTTTAATTAGCAAGTAAATATTTTGTGGGGAGAGATCTTAATGTAAATATCTTGTTTCTCATCAAGTTTTAGCCACTGGTTGTAGCATCTCTTTCTAATTCTTGCCTGAAATAATTATTATGATGGTTGCCAAATTATTTATCTGATTCCATCAGTCTTTCTACATTTCTTGGCTTTCTACTGTTAAAGTAGAGCCATTCCTTCTTCCCCATTCATATATGCACATTAATGGATTTTTATTTAATCGTTTATGTTACCTTATCATTCATCTTGACACTGACATTGTCCCAGATTCTGCTTCAAGTTGGCTTTTGTGTCTGTTTATGTGCCTATTTTTTTAAAACCATGAGTTCACGCAAGAATATTTCCAGTTAGGGGCCTTCGCCACATGAATCGTTCTAGCCTTCTCTGTGCCCGCATCTGTGTCCCCTTTCTCCAACACTGAGAAGCCTAGCCATCATTCTCAATATATCCTTTGTGCTCAGTCTCCTCGTTTGTGACCAGTGTCCCCAACCACGTTTGGCAAAACCTTCAGTTCTGACACTGCTACCCGAGTTCTTCTGGCCCAGAAACCAAGGAAAAACAAAACGAAACAGAAAAGACCTCTACAACAGAGGAAGGCTTAATATTCTCTGTTGCTTGTGTATTTCATTGAAAAAATTTTTTTTAAACATTTATTAGCACAAGCAGGAGGAGGAGCAGAGGGAGAAGGAGAAGGAGACTTAACATTTTTTCATTTTTGCTCATTTGGTAGGTGGAAAATGGTGTTTTTGTTACAGGCTTTATTGGCATTTTAGTTAACGAGGTTAAATATACTTTCAGGTGTTTATCAACTATTTCTATTACGTCTTCTGTGAATCACTTACGTGTTTTGCTCATTTTTGCACATTTTGCTCATTTCTCTACATTCAGTGCATAAGGATGATTTCTTGAACTTACCCGCCCCATCGTGTGTCAAATGATTCAGTTATTTTTCTCTTCAGTTTGCTTCCAGTGCTCTTCACCGTGCAGAATGCTCCAATTTTTGTGTCGTTAAGTGCATCATTCTATTCTTTTATGGCTTCTGCCTGTATGCTTTCCTTAGAAAAATCATTCCCACTCGAGATTATGCCGTTATTCCTTTTAGTTTTGTCCTGCTTATTCTGTGGCTTCCTGTTCTGCCTTTAACTCTTTGATTCATGTTGTACATATTTTGGCATAAAGCCCGTGAGCGGTCTGGGAACCTCTTGTTGGTCATGTTAATTTCACGTCCGTGTCACATCGGCCACACTGGGTCCCACCAGGAACGGAACCCCCACCGCCCGGGGCTGTGCCGACACCACCGGCTGGGGACTCCATCTTCATTCATCCCACTGTACGTGGTGTGGGCTTGAGTCTGTTTTCTTGCTCTTTATTCTGTTTCCTTGATCTCTTTTGATTCCAATATCCTATTGCTCTTATTTCTGTAGCTTAGAAATACATTTTTCTATCTAAGGGAGCCATCCTTCCCCAGTACTTAATCCCCACCCCCAGCAGCTTCCTATTTTGCTGACACATTTACTTTTCAAAGTTTACTTCAGATTATTTTTCAGTGTTAAACAGTAGCATCTTCTTCACCTAGAAATGCAGATTCAACAAGTTTTAATCATATAAAGCAACCAACACCAAAGCAAGGTAAATAGTCAATAAAGTTAATTATTATTTTCAAGTGACCAAAGTGCAACTTGCAAGCTATCTTTAGAGAAAAAGGAGACTCCACTGGCTTATGTAATTGATGGCGCTCGGAGCAGAGCTGCACGCAGAGGTGGGTGGTGGTCTCTCTCCACGTGGGGGACACAGGCCTTCAGCGTTCAGCCTGAAAACCCACAAGGGAAAGCTCTCGATCAGACGTGCATCTCTGAGCCACAGACTGTGGTGGCCGTGGGGATTCTTCAGTCCTTATGAATAAATTACAAAGTTTAAGGTGGGGCACCTGTGGCCTTGGTTGGGCGTTTGGCTTCAGCTCAGGTCAGGATCTCAAGATCCTAGGATGGAGCCCTATCATTGGCTCCCTGCTCAGCGGGGGAGCCCCTTCCCTTCCTTGCCCTCTACCCCATCCACCTGCTCATGCTCTCTGGCTCTCTCGCTTTCTCGCACTCTTTTTCTCAAATAAATAAAATCTTAAAGCTTAGGGGGCACCTGGCTGGCTCAGTTGGAAGAATGTGCAGCTCTTAATCTCAGGTTGTGAGTTTGAGCCCCAGGTTGGGGGGAGAGGATAGAGATTAGTTAAATAAATACTTAAAAAAAAAAAAGTTGAGGCTGCACATTTTTACTTTGGCAATCCGAGTTTATCTGCAGATCCTGGAAACCCCTCGGCTAGTTGATGGTGAGCGCCCCCCAGAACTGGAGAACTGCGTGTTCATGGTCTCTGAGCTCTGGAAGAGCACGCTCGGAGCGGAGCGTCCAGGAAGGGCTCCCAGAGCCTCGCGCAGAGCTGGCCTACAGGGTTCCCCGGTGGCAGCCACGGCCCCCTGTCACCTGTGAGCTGAGGAAGGAGAAGGGGAGAGGGGCTGCGTGTGGAGTCTGGGAACTGTGGCCACAGCTGGGCCGCCTGAAGTGGGTTAGAATGGAATGAGTGAGCCAGTCAACCAAGGAGAACATTGAAATATAATAACTTTTTTTTTTCTTTTTAAGATTTTATATATTTGAGAGAGAGAGAGAGAGAGAGACAGGGCTGGGGGTGAGCGGGAGGGACAAGTAGGGGGAACAGCAGAGGGAGAGGGAGAGGGAGAAGCAGACTCCCCGCTGAGCAGGGAGCCCCACGTGGGACTCGATTCCAGGACCCTGGGATCATGACCTGTGCCAAAGGCAGAGGCTTAACTGACTGAGTCACCCAGGTGCCCTGAAGTATAATGTTATTTTACCATAATTTTAAAAGGTAAAGGAGTTTTTAAACCCCCCTAGAAGCCCTCAAGATATCATCTGACTGTAAAGTACAGGTAACTATAAACTTATATGTAAATAGATCAGTTTATGTGTATATAGTTGACCCTTGAACCAACACTGGGATTAGGGGTGCTGATCCCCAGGCAGTCAGAAACACAAATGTAACTTCTAACTCCCTCCAGACTTAACTACTAATGGCCTACTGTGGACCGGAAGCCTTACTGATCAGTTTACACTTACTTTGGAGGTTATATGAATTATATCCTATATCCTTCTAGTAAAGCAGCTAAAGAAAATGCATGAAAGAAAATACATTTCTAGTACTCCACTATATTTAGCAAAAAAATCTGCATCTGCCTAGACTCATGTGGTTCAAATCTGTGTTCTGGGGTCAGCGGTGTAACTGTGTGTGTGTGTGTGTGTTTTATAGGCCTATGTCTGTATTTCTCTCATTGCACTGACTTTTCACTGGATCGCTGAAAATCTCACCACAAACCAGTCAGTGAACTAGCCTTGCGGAAATCCTGCTCTGCTAGTGGCCAGAGAAAGGAGCTGAAATCAAATGAGTGACTTTTGGTCCTTCTTGGTCAGCCTGTGTTTGCTCGGACAGAACCTGAGCTTCTCTGTTGTAGGGTGTCATCTTGGATCATACCCGAGTTTTGACTACGTGCGTACTTACTCCTTCCTTCTGTCCCTCCCCAGGCTGCTGCCTCTTGCCCCTAATCTCTGTTTTCCTCTTACCCAGCTGTTACTTGAGCACCAGGATGCGTACCAGGCTGGAGCCGTGTTCCCTGATGCCTTCTACCCCAGCATCTGCGAGAGAGGTAAGCTCGAGTCTCACAGACCCAGTGATGCGGCTTCCACTTGGTTAACAGGAGCAGCTAGGACAGAACTCCAACAGCGTGTTTCTGTTGTCCTTGGTCACTGACTTGGTTCACATAACTGCATTTTTCATTTAACCAGATCTTACCTACTTAAGTGTAGAAATTCTGAAAATTTTCACGATCCTGTGTGTCCTTAATTTACTACTTTGTGGCAGAAGAGAAAAGATTTTGAAAGCGGTGGAAGGGTCTGGGTTCTCGTTCCTGCTGTGCTATTAGCCTTGTGACCTTCAGAAAGTGTTTCCACGCCTGGGACATAATCATAATAATGTTTCCCTTGCCTCTACCGGACTTTGTTGGTGTTAATGTATATTATCGAGTGGTGTGCAGATCTAAGGCAGTGGTATCAGTGACCTGGGCTTGGGGGTAGTATCAGGACCCCGTGGGGTGTGGAAGGTGCACTCTGACAGAGAATTGGGGGGTGTTTTGTAGGAGCTATGGGCCTGGTTAAGAAATCTGCAGGAACAGGGCAGGGAGGGAGCAGTTGCCGGAAGGCCCCTGTGAGGGGCCAGTCCTTCATTCAGGGACTGAAGCCAGCCCCCAGGACCCTAAGTCAGGGATCTGGGGGAACGAATACCCCCACCTCCCTTCCTTTTCTCTGATCTCGTCTCCGTTCTCCACATTGGCCGGACCCAACCCACCCAAAGCTGGGGGGCAAAGAGGCCAGTCGGGCTGGTCCCTTCAGGGGCACCGTGCAGGGCAGAGCAGGTTGGACAGAAGGTCTGGAGGGACAAATGAAAGACATCCAGTATATTGGTCGTCACGGAATCCATATTTGGAGTCTCAGGGTCATGGCCATTATCCCAGTGTTTTGTTTTTTAAGATTTTATTTATTTGTGTGTGAGAGAGAGAGAGAGAGAGAGCGCGCGCGCACAAGCAGGGGGAGAGGCAGAGCCAGAGGGAGAAGCAGGCTCCCTGGGCAGGCTTCCTTGGGTCTCCGTTCACTAGGATTACAGAGGGGAACAAAAACGTTGCTTAATCTGGCAATTTGGTGAAGGGGGAGGTTTATTCAAAGAGCTGCTGTTACCCTTAATTTGGGATTTTTACTGAATTCTGTAAAATAGGAATTGTAAGTTTTATCTCGAGGAAAACTTAGAGCGGATCAAATTTCTAGTTGTGGTGTCTTTGAAAATCATTTCAAGAAAAGCCAATGGTTTAAAACTGGTTAGAATGTTTTTACTTGAGGGGCACCTGGGTGGCTCAGTGGGTTAAGCCTCTGCCTTCGGCTCAGGTCATGATCTCAGGGTCCTGGGATCGAGCCCCGCATCGGGCTCTCTGCTCAGTGGGGAGCCTGCTTCCTCCTCTCTCTGCCTGCCTCTCTGCCTACTTGTGATCTCTCTCCCTGTCAAATAAATAAATAAAATCTTAGAAAAAAAAGGATGTTTTTACTTCAGTGACAGCAAAACTATTTCAACAGAAGGATCTAAACTCTGGTGTTCTGGTTTCCGTTGCCCCTCGTGACATTTGACAGCCCCCTCCCACCCCCCTGCACCCCACCTGCACTGCCCCCCACCAACTCCAGCACCCTCCACCCACTACCCTGCACAGCTGCTTCCTCCTTCCCTTTAGCACAGAAACGGAAAACCCTTCCAGCCCCGCAGCAGCCCCTGTGATTCCAGATGCTGTGAGCTAGTCCCAGCTTTCTCTCTCCCTCCCAGCTGGCCCTTCTCTTCTAGAGGCTTCCTCTGAACATCAACGGAAGAACACAGGAGGCTGGAAGGGAAGGAAGAGATATCTCCAGCTTTTCTGGACAGACTCCTGACACCTGCTCTTGTCTCACCAGGGAAGTTCCATGATGTGTCCGAGAGCACGCACTGGACCCCCTTTCTGAATGCCAGCATCCATTATATCCGAGAGAACTACCCGCTTCCCTGGGAGAAGGTAGGCATGGCCGGCCCTCCAGTGCCGAGAAGAAATTCCGCTCCAGACCCCCACCCCTGTCTGCACCCTGTCGCCCCCCAGGCTCCGGGAGAGCAGCTCACCCTTGCTGAGGGTGAGCCCAGGATGCGGTTGGTTAAGACCTGAGCAAACTACTCAGAGAAGTGCAGGAGGTCACCTGGCCGTTTCTGCCCCAAGAGTAATTCCTCTGAAAGCACTTCCAAGGCACCCCCGACACTTCTCCACGAGTCCTTGGTGGGTTTTGTCACTAGAAACTGCAGTGTACCAGCCTCTGTATTGCTGTGAAGGCTCAGGGATGGAAATCCTCTTTATTAAACACCGTAATAGGACTTTTACAAAATAACCCCAGCGCCCGTCCCTCTAATTTGCTCGTTGGCAGGACACGGAGAAACTGGTGGCTTTCCTGTTCGGCATCACCTCTCACATGGCGGCTGACGTGAGCTGGCACAGCCTGGGCATCGAGCAGGGATTCCTTCGCACCATGGGCGCCGTGAGTACGCGTCGGTGGCGGGTGACTCGAGGGGACTGTCCTGTCCTGCCCGGGACGAAGCCCGGGAGGGAGAACTCGAGGTCACTCAGGGCCATGTGGACGCAAGTGAGACTTCCTGCCCCAGCAGCCGTCCGTCTCCAGCTCCTCCTCCCCATTCCCCTTCTTCCCTGGGCTCCCTGCACGTTCGGCCCGCGGGCAGGACCCTGACGTGCACCGAAATCAGCAGTAAATGTGCTGTCCTGTGTCGTCGCACACAGCATTTGTGAAATTTCACGCTCCGGGCAAGTCGCGTGTCTTAATAAGGACACAAAGAGCCGCCACTCAGTTCTCCTTGGAGTTCTTCTCCACTCCACGTGTTTGTTCTTTTAAAATTTTCCTTCCTAACATGCAAAAATGTGTTCTTATTTGCGTGTGGTTGACACAGCGTCGCGTGAGCTCCAGGTGGGCGACGTGACGATCCGCCAGCTGTGTGCAGCTGTGTTCGCCCCCCCCCCCGTCACCGCCCAGCCCCCCACACTGCCAGACCCTGTCTTCCCTGGGCTGTGCCTTCATTCCTGTGACTTAGTCACTCCGTAAGCTCTTACTCCCTTGCACCCATTTCGCCCATCTCCCCACGCTGGCTTTTTTTTCCCCCCCGTTTTCTATATGAAAATGCCAGGGCCCCGAACTGAAATGGCGCCCTTGTTTCTGGAAGCCCCCCGGTCCCCAGTTGTTGTTGGTCCCATTCTGTGCAGAACTTACCCTTGGACTCACTGGAGACTGTGTCTACATCCCCAGCGGTGCAAGTGTTTGCAAGAGCTTTGTCTCCAGACGCTAATATGTGGCTCAGCTGCCACTGTAAATTTGTAACAAAAAAATAAAATTATCATTTTTAAAAAGATCAAGTCCATCTGTTATGGACCCTTTGCATTGACCAGGTTAGGCATTCACCTCCTTGCCCCTGGCATGGCTGCGGGGTGGGCTTTGGGCTACAGTCGGTGATACCCGTACACATGTCAGATGATTCTCTCTTTCTCAGGTTGACTTTCATGGCTCCTATTCCGAGGCGCATTCAGCGGGTGATTTCGGTACTGTCTACATTTGCCGGGTTTCTTTTGCAATGGTTCTGTCTCCCTTGTCCTAGAGTCACTACTGTACCTTAAATCTGTACTTTTCTCCCCCATGTCGAAAAACCTCTCTCCTTAACTGAGACCATCTCATGCTGCATTAGGACTGTCTATGTGGTTCTCTTGAGCAAAAGTGTCAGTTTCATACTCTATGGGGTGGGTATTCAGTCACTTTGGGAAATGGCTAATAACCAGGCAGGTGTCTAGACGACAAGAGAGAGATGCTTCCGGGAGTGGCTGCTGGCAGAGACGTGCGCAGATCATGGCGGACTCCCGCAGTACCTCTTTCTCTCCTGTGTGTGTCAACTTCAACTTATACTAAAAAACCAAGTATTTAAAGTAAAATACAGATTTTTTTTTTTTTAAAGATTTTATTTATTTATCAGAGAGAGAGAGGGAGAGAGAGCAAGCACAGGCAGATAGAATGGCAGGCAGAGGCAGAGGGAGAAGCAGGCTCCCTGATGAGCAAGGAGCCCGATGTGGGACTCGATCCCAGGACGCTGGGATCATGACCTGAGCCGAAGGCAGCTGCTTAACCAACTGAGCCACCCAGGCGTCCCAAAATACAGATTTTTAATCACAGCTCGCCAGTCCATATACTAACTAGCTTTCTATTTTAATATTTCATTTAGAGTACGGCATATCTCATTTGCCATAGAGATGTATTTCCCAAAAGTTGTATGTCTTTATAAAAAAAATCACAGTTCATCATTGGCATATGTCCTAATTTAGTAAAGCTTTACTCTTATATTAGCTTAAAATTCTTTACCTAAGGTTGCCCTCACTTTAACTTGGTACCTCTGTCTTTTTCCTCCCTCCCATGAATTATTGAAATAGCCAAAGTAGATGGTGAATGGGATTTTAAAAGAACTTTTATGGTTCATCTTTCCTTCAAGTGAAAAACTTTTGGTTATCTGGGTGTTTCTTAACTCACAAGTCTCACTGGCTAAGCTGTGAATGATCGCTTTTTCTCTGAGATCTGCTTGTACCTAAAACAGCAGAACATGCGGGCAAGGTAGCGAACTCATCACCTGACCGTGCAGATCTGCGGAAAGAAGCCGAGTGTCGTCGCTGACCCACCAAGTGTAAATATTTTTCTCGTGCTTTAGGAGGAGATGTGTTGAGCCAGTTCGAGTTCAATTTTAATTACCTCGCACGGCACTGGTAAGAACAACTACGCTTACACGTGTGTTCCCTAAATGGCGCTTAGAAGCTGGACCTTTTTTATCCCTGTAGAAAATGCGGCCTCCGATGCAATTAGGCATCAAAAATTTGTAAATTTTGAAAAGCAGAACTGCAGATGAGGACAGTTTAAGATGCTTTGAACTTGTGACCGACACCATATCCAATGCATATTTACAAAAAATAAGATCACGTGCATTCCTGTAGCTAACACTTGGCTCACAGCCAAGCCTTCTGGGTGTCTTCTAAGCGCCTCCCACCGAGAACGTTCTCTCCTGCTCTTCTAAACTGCTCCGGTGGGATTTCTGTTAATCGTTTTGTTGCTTCTCTTTAGAGATGAATACATATGGATGTGTCCATGTACAAAATAGGACGTGATTTTAATCTTCAGATAAATAGAATCGCGTTTCTGGTTCCGAGGTCCGGTCACCTGTGTCCGTCTGGCCGTGGTGGATTTTCCCTGCTGTGTGGCCGTCTGTTACCGGGATGGACCACACGGTGCTCCACTCCCGCGGGGACGGAGGTGTTAGTGCAGAGCGTGTGTGTTTGCTCTATGGGCGGTGTTGTGGTGAACATCTCGTACGTTTGTGCACCACAGTGGGGGTCTCTCATCCTCAGCACCGGACACGGAACTGGCAGGGAGTCCTGGGGCGGATGTGAGTTCAGCATCAGTGAGCCGAGGCTTTCAGAAAGGCCTTCCCAGCGGACCCTGTCCTCGGGCGTATGTGGTAGATCTACTTCCCCTGCGTTCTCCGGGACTTGGTCTTGTCCAACTTAAAATACAGTCTGTTTGGTGTGTACTGGTATCTTACTGATGTTTTCATTTGCATTTCCCAGTGATTAATGAGGCTGAAAGTTCCTTCATACTTTACGGATCATCTGTGTTTGATACTCCGTGAACATCTTGTTTAGCTTTTAGCCTAGTTTTCTGTTGGTTGGTTTGGCCTTTTTACTTACTGGTGAGTGGTCCTTGTATATTAGGGCTTCTAATCTTTGTTGGTTTATCATTTATTTGTTACAAATATCTTTTTATACTTTGGGACTTTTTTTTTTAACTTATGATGTATCTTAATAAACAGAACTTAATTTTAATGTAGTTGACTATATCTTTTCCTTTGTAATTTGTGCTTTCGATGTCTGATTTAAGAAATCCTTCCCTACTTTTTGGGGATGAGGTCATTCTCTTCCTCCTTGGCCTTCAAAAGCTTTTATGGTTTTATTTTTTTAAACTTTGTCTTTCATTTACCTGGAGTTAATTTTCTGTGTGTTCTGAGATAGAATCTGATTTTCTTTCTTTCTGTGGATGTAACTTAGATAGTCCACAAATCAGGACACTTATCCATAGTCTCCCCCCCCCTTTTTTTTTGTGGGCTTTCTATTCTGTTCTATTGATCTACTTGTCCATGAGCAATACTGATTTTTTTCTTTTTAAATTACAGTGGCTTTATAATACATCTTGACATCTAGTAGGGCTGGTCTCTCAGCCTATCCTTTTTCTTCAGACATACCTTGCCAATTCTTTTGCCTTGGCTCTTTCAAATAAAGTGAGAAGAGCAAGCTGCCATGTTCTAAGAAAGATCTTGTTGGGGTTTTGATTAGAGTTGTATTGAATCTAGAGATCCATTGGAAGAGCATTAACAACTTTGAAATATTGAGTCTTCTCAATATGCTATATATTTTATTTAAGCCCCCTTTAGTGACTTTAACTAAACTTGTCTAAGTTTTTCCCTTCAAGGTCTTACATGTTTTGTTCAATTTTGTTGCAGAGACTTTTTATTTGCTACCATAAATGGTAACTTTCGGTACCAGTTTTATTTTCTAGTTGATTGTTGCTGTGTAGAATGCAAGTGACTTTCTCATTTTGATTTTTGCTTCTAGCCACATTTCTAAATTCCCTCATTCATTCTAATGTTCCCAGAGATGTTTTTTAATTTACTGTATACTCACAGTGCATCATCTACAAATTGCGACCATTTTGCTTTTCCTTTCTCAGTCTTTAGCCTGTGTGATTCAGCAGAAAGAAGAAAGTTATAAAGTTTTCAGTACAATAGAAGTGGCGATACTGAGCATACTTACCTTGTTTGTGACCTTAAAGAGAATGCTTTCAAAATTTCATCAGACACAATGTTTGCCCTGGGTTTTTGTGAATATCCTTAATCAGCTTAAGGCAGTTTCCCTCTATTTCAGTTTGCTAGTAGTAATTATGAAATAACTTCACACATGTTGAACTCTTACTCTGCATCTGTTGAAATAGTTCCCTCTTTTTTAATCTGATAATATAACAATTGTACTAATCTATTTGCCAATATTTAATCAAGTTGAATTCCTGGCACAAAACCAACTTAGCAATAGTATATTTCCTTTTTAATATTTGTTGCATCTGTTACTGCCTGGGATTTTGTATTTTTATTTATGGGTGAGTTCATGCTATCATTTTCCTTTCTTCTCTTCTTGTTTGGTTTTGGTATCAAGGTTATGCTAGTTTCATGATATCAGGAGGAAAGTTCTTTTCTTTTCTGTTCTCTGGAAGTCTCTGTAAGATCAACACTTTGATTGCTTCAATGTTTGGTAGAATTTGTAAAGCTCTCTAGGCGTGGTGTTCTCTCTCTACAGGGACTTCTTAAAAACTTCAGTCATGGTTATAGGACTACACAGTTTTTCAATTTCTTCTTAAGGTGTTCTGTTTTTCTAGGGTTTTTCCATTTCATCTAAATGTTTAAAGATTGTGACTTGAAGTTCTTAATATTTTACCGTCTATTTTCCTTATTTGTACTTGTGTTCCCTTGTTATCTTGATCCTGACGTTTCTTGCATTTTTCAATTAGTCTCATCTAATATATTTCAGTTTCATTATCGTAAAGAATGGGTTTGGGTTTATTGATCCTCTCTATTATGTGTTCATTTTCTCTTTCATTACTTTTTACTCATATATTTATTTTCTTTAGGTTCTTATGAAATTTGTGGAGTCTTTTTTTTTTTTAAGTTTTTAAATTTAATTCCAGTGTAGTTAACATGCAGTGTCACATTAGTTTTGGGTGTACAATACGGTGATTCAGCAATTCTCTACGTTACTCAGTGCTCATCAAAAGTGTGTTCTTAATGCCCTCCACCTGTTTCACCCATCTCCACCCATCTCCCCTCAGTTTGTCGTATAGTGAAGAGTCTCTTTCTTGGTTTGCCTCTCTCTCTCTCTCTCTCTCCCCCCCCTCATTTGTTCATTTTTTTTCTTAAGTTCCACATATGAGTGAGATCATATGGCTTTTGTCTCTATTTCACTTAGCATTATACTAACTCCATCCATGTTACAAATAGCAAGATTTCATTTTTTATGGCCAAGTAATATACCATTGTCTGCATATACCACTTTTTCCATTCATCAGTCAATGGACATTGGGCTGCTTCCATAACTTGGCAATTGTAAATAATGTTGCTATAAACACGGGGTGCATGTATCCCTTTGAATTAGTGTTTTTGTGTTTTGGAGGTAAATACCCAGCAGCACAATTGCTTGGTCATAAGGCAGTTCTAGTTTTAACCTTTGAGACACCTGCATCCTGTTTCCCACAGTAGCTGCACCAGTTTGCATTCCCACCAGCAGTGCACGAGGGTTCCTTTTTCTCTACATCCTCCCCAGTACTTGTTGTTTGTGGGTGTTCTGTTTTTTCCTCATTCTAAGAGGTGTGAGGTGATCGCTCACTGTAGTGTTGATGTGCATCTCCCTGATGATGAGTGATGCTGAGCATCTTTTCATGTGTCTGTTGGCCATTTGTATGTCTTCTCTGGAGACATGTCCATGTTCTCTGCCCATTTTTAATTGGATTATTTGGGAGTTTTTTTTGTACTGACTTACATTAATTCTTTATATATTTTGGATACTAGCCCTTTATCATATATGTCATTTGCAAGTATCTTCTCCCATCCCACATAATATTTTTTAGCTTTTCTGATTGTTTCCTTCATTGTGCAGAGCTTTTTATTTTGATGAAGCCCTAATAGTTTGTTTTTGCTTCTATGTCCCTTGTCTCAAGAAACATACCTAGGAAAATGTTGCTATGGCTGACGTCAGAGAAATTACTGCCTTTACTCCCTTCTAGGATTTTTATAGTTTATCACATGTAGGTTTTTAATCCATTTTGGAATTTATTTTTGTGTGTGGTGTAGGAAAGTGGTCCAGTTTCATTTTTTTGCATGTAGCTGTCTGAACATCCCAGCACTATTTGTTGAAGGAGACTGCCTTTTTCCCATTGGACATTCTTTCCTACTTTGTGGAGATTAATGAACATATAATTGTGGGTTCATTTCTGGGTTTTCCATTTTTTTTTAAAGATTTTTATTTATTTATTTGAGAGAGACACAGAGCATGAGCAAGGAGAAGGTCAGAGGGAGAAGCAGACTCCCCATGGAGCTGGGAGCCCGATGTGGGACTCCATCCCGGGACTCCGGGATCATGACCTGAGCCAAAGGCAGTCGTCCAACCAACTGAGCCACCCAGGCGTCCCTGGGTTTTCTATTCTGTTGCATTGATTAATGTGCCTGTTTTGTGCCAAGATCATACTGTTTTGAACTTGAAATCTGGAATTGTGATGCCTCCAGCTTTGCTTTCCTTTTTCAAGATTGCTTTGGCTATTTGGGGTCTTTTGTTCTAGCTCTTGAAAGCTGCCATTGGTATTTTGATAGGGATTACCTTTTTTTTTTTTTTTATTAAGTAGGCTCCATGCCCAGTGTGGAACCCAACAAGGGGTTTGAACTCATTACCCTGAGATCAAGACCTGAGCTGAGATCAAGAGTTGGTCACTTAAAGACCTGAGCAGCCCAGGCGTCCTGATTAGGATTGCATTAAATGTGAAGATGGCCTTGAGTAGTATCTACCTGTCAACAATATTCTTCCAATCCATGAACCTGGAGTGTCTTTTTTTTTTTAAAGATTTTTAAAAAGATTTTATTTGTCAGAGAGAGAGAGCACAAGCAGGCAGAGGCAAAGTG